CATCATCTTTCAAGATTTTAAATAGTTCAACTGGAATGCCGTCACCTCCACTGGCCTTGTTGTTAGCCAGGCTTTCTAAGGCCCACTTGACTTCACTCTCCAGGATGTCTGGCTCAAGGTCAGCAACTACATTGTCTGGGTTGTAAAGGATATCCAGATCTTTCTAATACAATTCCTCTGTGTATTCTTGCCACCTCTTCTTGACGTCTTCTGCTTCTGTTAGGTCCCTCCCATTTTTGTCTTTTATCATGTTCATCTTTGTGCAAAATGTTCCTCTAATATCTCCAATTTTCCTGAACAGATCTCTGGTTTTTCTTTTTTTTTTTTTCCCTTCTTTTTCTTTTGGTTAAACCCTAAAAGAGTGAGTGTGGTATAGAAGTGTTAGACTGGGAATCAAACGATCTAGGTTCAAATGACCACTTAACCATGAAACTCAATGGGGGACCTTGTCAGCTTCATCAGCTTCACAAAGTTGTTGTCCAAACAAATTAGGCAGATCAACAGCCATGTGTGGTTCCCTGTGCTTACTAAAGAAAGGAAGGATGTCAATTAAACTTTCAAATAAAATAGGGTTCTTCTTTGTGCTGTCTTGATTCAAATCTATGGGTTCCTTCCGCGCATCCGCAGACATCGTTGGAACATACCAGAGCCTAAAAACTCTGTTAAACCCTTCCACCACACATGCTCCCCACCTTATAGTCAATCCTCAGTAGGAATAAGGTTTATATTCAAAGCCTTTGCAGAATCCAATTTGCCTTGACCAGTCAGGTTCTCCCATCTCTCTCTATATATATAATCCCCATTTCAGTGAGTTTAGATCAGCCAAGGAAAAATAATCCCCTAGATGCAACAGGAAAAGAAAAGTTGACAATCACAAATTGAGCTGGTTCCACCTTCGCTTTCTCTTCTGTTGAAGTCCCCACTTATTCTTCTATCGTCTTGGTGCCTCCTTCACCATAAACTTCATGGTATCGGAATTAGCAACCCAGCCACCACTTTTTTCCCCTTTCACTATACTGTGACTATTATCAACTCTTCCCAGTGAAAGAATGGCTCCCCACAGTGGGGTGAGGAGTGATTGTCCCATAGCAGACTTAAAATCCAATTTGGGACTTTTGGTGACTCTCGAGTAGATTGCCATCAAGGGATGGTGTGGGCTGCCAAGGGTGCAAGACATAGGGAAACTCCCATGACGGTGAAGAGTAACTTGCTCATGCAATGTTGGATTGTGCCATCCTGAAATCTTGGTCTGCCTTGTGATTCCATATCAACATCCCAACCATGCATAATGTGTCCCACTTATCTTTTATGCCCAAACCTTTGTTTCTTTCTCCGGAACTCTCAGTAATCATCAAAGAAACAGGAAGAAAAACATGCTTGGGAGAAGGAGGTGGGATGATTAAAGGCCACAGGAACCTACTGTCACTCTTAAACTTCTAAACATGATTAACTGATATGGCAGCATTGTTATCTGCACTAGCCAATTTTTGTATGATTCAATTTCCTGTTGTATGCAGACAAAGAATCTGAATTCTCTCTCTCTCTCTCTCTCTCTCTCTCTCTCAAAACTTTCCTTTTTCCTCTTCTCATCTCCTGTTAGAATAGTTACTGGTATACCTGCATGTGAGATTCATGTGGTAATGAGACTGTGGGTGTAGAAGTGTCTTTCTTGTTCTGCAAGAGAACATTGTTCTCCTGCGTGGGTGCTGCATTGCGATTGTTCCTTTTTTTGGGTTTTGTTTTGCAGAGAAATACAACCTATGTACTGAAAAAAGAGTTTAGACATCAAACAGTTGTTCCCCTGCCCACACCTTCATAAAAGACACAAGTCATTTTGCTTAACGTTGATTCTACTTCCCCTCACCCCCGCCCCCCGAGTCCATATTCTTCAGAAAATAACCTTGCAAAAGAAATGTAAGGGACAGACTATTGCAGTTCTCTGAAACCTTGACTTAATCAAGTAAATGGATCTTCTTGGTTCAGCTGGCACAGGTTTGAGCAGTTTTGTATTTAGGATATGTGTCACACTGCAGAGTGTTTAGCTTTCATATCATGGCTTCCCTTGCTTCCAGGTTTCTCCCATTCAGCTTTTACATTTGGAATAGAGAGTCATATTAGCCAGTCCAACATCAATGGAACACTAGTGCCACCTGCTGCCCTCATCTCCATACTTCAGAAAGGCCTGCAGTATGTGGAAGCAGAGATAAGCATCAATGAGGTAAGTAGCATCACTGCCTTCTATGGAAACATACATCACCTATGGGTATATTAATTGTCAGGTTGATTCTGACTTATGACTTATCACCCTTTCCTGGGTTTTCTAAGTAGAGTATATTAGTTGGCTGGATAGCTCACAGGTTTAGGCACCCTGCTGGCGAGCCAGAGGTTGAGAGTTTGATTCCCGGCTGGTTCCCTTATAAAAAGAGCCAGCCTATGCAGCCTTGGGCAACCGGGGCACAGTCCTGGGGTACCCCCAGAAGAAGGGAATGGGAAATCAGTTCTGTGTATTCTCTACCTAGAAAGCCCTGCAAAAAGTTGGCGTAAGTCAAAATCGACTTGACAGCATGTAATTAATATTAATTAAGGTTATAATAGACACAAAGCATTGCTTCTGTTCGGGTTGACTCTAACCCTTAAGGACAATAGAACGTTAAAATAGCTAGGGTTAGTCCCCACACTATTGTCCTCCTTTTCCTTCATGGTTCCAAATCTCTCAAATATATCTTTATTATTCTATGCATTATTCTATATATTCTATACATCTATTGCATCTTTGGATAATTTCAACACATTACAGAATTTCTGGTATAACTTGCAAGAACCAATCAAATTATTGCAGAATTTTATATTTTATTTTTCATAGTACATTTCGGAGTCATATGCAACAATCTGACCATGTCTGGGCTCAAAAAATTGCCTCCTACAGACTAAGCCTATTAGATGGTGAAATATACAAGGAAAATCTGCCAGCCACTCTGTTTTGAGTTAGAGGTGTTTTTAAAAAAAAATTAATGGTGCTTGCTGAGATCCGATTCACATGACATTGAAGTGCAGTGACTGTCAATTTCTGAGTATGTGATGCTGTTGGATGAACCCCAGAAGAAGTATTTTCTTAAAAAAATAAATAAATTCCATACATGTACAGTATTGCATAAATGTAACCCTTCAGAACCCTAATGTCATCTGAACATGTGAAAAAGATTATCATGTGGTCGCAGGAACCCTTTGCATTCTAAATGTTTATCACCTTTCTTCAAACTGTCTTCTACATCAAATGAATGTCTTTTGAAATTTAGGACAAGGCCCTCACGGTCTTCATAAACAATACAAATTGTAGAAACAGGTGATATTCTTTTTTTTCTTAACTTTGAAATTTAGGAGTTGTTCTGAAAGGCTTAAAAGTGAGCTTGTTTACATTAAGATTACTTCATTGAACTGCTGGATGCAGATTAACCCTAGAAGATTAACTCTTGTGTCTTGTTCCCTCACCAACAGTAGGAATAAAAATCATGCAAAATGGGGCTTCTCTTTGTTACTTCCTCTTCTTTGTTGTTCCTCTTCCCTTTGTTTTCCTTCCCCCTCTCTTTCTTTCCCTGCCTCCCCCCCACACACCAAGAAACCAAGGGATTTAGAGAGAAAGGGATTTGAGAGGATGCAAAATGATTACAGGTTTTGAAGGAAATAATGATTAAAAAGTTGTGCCAATGCATTGTAGCTGGACAGCTGGATATAAAGGAAGTAAAAAAAAGTTGCCCAAAAATAGCAGATTACAGCATTGTTGACTTTCAGTAGTCATGGTTGCTTCCACCAGTAGATGTTGTCAGGGAGCCACCTCATGGTCTATTGAATGACTTAGGGAGGGCTAAGCGAAAGACGTGGGACAAACCCTTGCTTCCTTTAACAACGGAACTTCTTTAGAAAACCTGTGTAACTTTCCTTTAGGAAGTCTACACAATGGAAACATCTTTATGATTTGTTTGAAACATCTAACATTTTTAAGGCTCGATTTTAGACCACTGGATGGAACCTGATGTTTCGAGGAGATCGGCGTTGAGTTTTTTTCTCTATTCCGTTTGCAAGCAAAGGCTTGCATCGAGCAACCCATATTACCGGTATTGCTGATTGTACTTGTCAAATGTAATTGACATTAGTGGTTGAGGTCAGTGAAACTGAAAGCATGATTTGGAAAGCATTTCTTGCCAGAGGTGACCCTTTGCCTATTTGGAAATGTTGCTGTCAGGTTGCATGGCCACAAATCCATTTCTAAATGCCATTTGTTTTTGTGTCTGTTGTTTATTTGTTTTTTAAATCGATCCTGCTTCTTTATGTACAAACAAGTGACAGGTAAACTCTTGGGTGAAAATAAATTTTCATGGCATTGGAAGCTTTCCAGTTTTATATGAAACTTTTCACTTAGAAATGCATTATCAAAATTTTTCAATGTGGGTTTTGTGTATGAAAATACTGTGCATGCTGTTTGCTTTTATAAACAGAGAGAAAAAGATAATGGTGACAATAAACTAGAAAAAAGTGATAATTGTGCAGAGCACATCAGATTCAGAGCTGTGATAGAACTGGAAGAACTAAGACTGAGATCAGGACCCAAACATTTTTGTTGGGCCAACTCTGAATTTTCTTGATTTTTCAAGGACTACTAGTATTTACGTGCCAGAGTAAATAAGGCTTTGTTGGTTGGAACCAACATGGCCTGCTCTTCATAACCCGCTGTCAAGTTTTGCATGGCACTTTGCAGATAAAGTTGCTTGGATCTGCTCCAACTTTCATGCTATAACTGACACAGATCCTGCTGGTATACCTTTGACCCCGTTTGTCCTTTAAGAATAGATTTGTTGCAGTTTGTGGTGTCTGAGGATATGAACAGGATTGTTGGAGAGGTGATAGCCAGCACATATGTGCTTCACCCTGTCCCTTCCTGGCTTAAAAAGGCAGCCAGATGAGAATGGCTGCGTGGGTGAGGGGAGTGCTTACTTGCAGCAAGGCAGTGTACCAGCATGCCTAAAGAAGACAGTAGTAAGACCTTTATTTAAAAATTCCTCCTTGACACCCCCCACACTGTATTTGACAATTATTGGTCAATCTCCAGTACTGCCTTTTTTTTTTTTTTTTTTTTTTTGGAGCATGTGGTGGCATCTCAGCTCCAGAGATGATGGATGGTCTAGATCAGTGGTGTCGAACTGTGGCCCTCCAGATGTTCTTGGCCTTCAACTCCCAGAAATCCTGGCCAGCAGAGGTGGTGGTGAAGGCTTCTGGGACTTGAAGTCCAAGAACATCTGGAGGGCCACAGTTCGACACCACTGGTCTAGATCCATTTCGACCCGGCTTCAGGCTGGTTACAGAACAGAGAAGCTTTGGCCACCTCATTAAATGATTTACACCAGGAATGGCACAAGGGGAGAATGTCCCTGTTGGTTCTGATGGACCTCTCATTGGCTTTCAATACCATCAAACATGGAATCCCTCTGGGATGCCTTTCTGGGATATGTTATGAGGTCCTGTTTTATGGTAGTAGTGATACTTTCTGGATGGCTGAACTCAGAAGGTAGGATGGGGAAATCCTGTTTAGTGTTGTGACTACTGGCCTGTGGTACTTCTTGGGGTTCATGCCTATCCCCCCCCCCATGCTGTTCAGCATCTACAATAACTGCTGGGAGAGGTTGTCCAGAGTTTTTGTGGTTCAGTGCCATCAATATAATGATGTCACAGAACTCTTAACCTCTCCTTTCCATCTGATTCCAAGGAAGCTGTTCTGTGCGTAGGCAGTAATGGATGGGATGAGGGCTAACAAACTGTTTGTGGTTGCTCTGGATGGGTGTTGGGACATTGGAAAATCAGGGTTCTGGTGCACATGGGGACTCTTCTCCCTAGCCACCCACCCCACCCCACCCTTGACTAGAAGCTCCACACTTCAAGCTGTCAACCTCAGGAGATGACCAGACCTAGAGGCAGAACTAGAGTGTTTTCACTTGTTGTATGCTTATGTGCAAGCTAATTCCTGTGTAAAGTTCTATAAAGAATCTATTCATAATAGATTTGACTTGGAACTGTTTACCTACAGATTTTCATCAAAAGGTTTGTGCAAAAATCAACAAGAGAAGTCTTATTTAATGCTCACAAGAGCTGTTGTTTCTGAAAGTCTAGGAGCTGAAAAGGATGTCACCCCTTCACAGAATTTGTCCTCTGCACTCTTTGCATATGATGTGTTCCAGATGAGGCTTTATCCTAATTAAACATGCAAGGCAATTAAGGTTAATTATTAAGCTGGGATTATTCTTAGATGAAGAGAAATTCTGCTGTTAGAAATGTTCACATTTTTTGAACCGGTTGACACATTTCTTGTATTATAGTATCATTTGCCAAAATGGCCTTTTTTAAAAAATTATTTTTTTGCATTGTGTGGCTGCAGCGTTCCCCACAGTACGAACTGTACCCTTTCATTATCAGTTATATCAAGGGGGAAATATGCAGTTTATTCCTGAAACTCTGCCTACTGTAGACACTGGGGGCGCTCATGAGCACAGGAGGCAAAGGAGTGTTTACAGTGGACCCTTGACTTACAGACGGCTTGACTTACAGACTTTTTGAGTTACAGACTTCTCTGGCTGCAAAATTTAGGTTTGACTTGCAGACTGAGATTTGACTTACAGACCAGAAAAAAACCAAAATGGAACAAAAACGGCCTGTTACGGGATTAATCGGTTTTCAATGCACTGTAGGTCAATGGAGACTTGACTTACAGACTTTTTGACTTGAGAACCGCCTTCCAATACGGATTAAGTTCTCAAGTCAAGACCCCACTGTACTCAGCAACTGCACAAGTGGAACCAGTTTGGCTATTTTGACTTGCCCTGGCCAAGATTTTGTTATTACAGCATTGTCTCCTGCACGTGAAAAAATTTTTAGTGGTAAATGAAACATCTGTTTACCTTTCAATAATCATCATCAGGGGCTGTCAAGTCAATTCTGACTTAAGGCAGTCATTTTTCAGGGTTTTCCAGGGTGGGCAATACTCAGAAGTGGTTTACCATTCCCAGAGGGAATGCCCTGGGACTGTGCAGCTTGCCCAAGGCCACACGGGATGGCTGTACTCACAGGAAGCACAGTGAGGAATTGAACTCCTAACCTCTAGCTCCGTAGCCAGATACCTAAACCACTGAGCTATCCAGCCAGCATGTTTTTGTTGTTGTTGTTGTTGTTGTTGTTTGCCTTGTAGATAATCTCAGTGCAAAAGGAAGAGGTCACTGGCCGTTCCATTCCCAATCATCAGAGCAGTGCTGACAATGAAACATGCCATTTGGACAGCTCCACAGAGCCCAGCAGTTAGGGGTCTGAAGATATGCAGTGTGCCAGCAAAGTGCGGCCGCCCTCAAGGATTGCCCGTGGCCTGGTTGTCCAGTGAGGGAGCAGCAAAACACAAAGCTTTGCTCTGAACCATGGGGACACTTTTAATTACAGTACTTTGTAACCTTGTAGGCATGAAGTTGAACTGGAGTGAATGAAGTTTCCAAGTACTGCCCTTGTAACAGCAGAGCCAAAGAGGTGTATTGTTTTTGTCAAAACCCTACTTCTGCCAGTACTTAGTGCACCCTCAAGCTATTTTTTTCCAGGATCCAGATGTGTACGCCCTGGCCTTTCCTTCACACTTTGTTTTTCTTGTTAATTGCAAACATATTTGGTCTCTGGGAGTTTAGAAGAATGGTAACACTCTTTCCTTCCAAAGAGGTGTCTTTTGCAGAATGACCATACAGATGGTTCCATCCTTTTCTCCTGTTCAGCATTCCTTTCATGCAGCTTTGACTTTTATATCTTCTTTTTTTCTCTCTTTTCATTCCCCTGGTCCACCCACCCAGGATGGTACAGTATTCGATGGCAGACCTATAGAGTCCCTATCACTGATAGATGCAGTAATGCCTGATGTCGTCCAGACCCGGCAGCAGGCCTTCAGAGAGAAATTAGCTCAACAACAGGCAAGTGCAGCACCAACCACAGCTACAACAGCTGCAGCAACGACAACGACATCTACGGCAACGACAACAGCTATCCCACAGCAGAACACACCAAAGAATGGAGAAGCCACTGTGAATGGAGAGGAGAACGGGGCACATGCAATAAGTAAGCCAAAGTCATGTTTATTACGTGTTACCAAACTCTCCAGGTTTGTACAACAGCCCTGCAGAGCCTCATTTTGGCCAAGACATATATGTGCTCACCACTGACTGTTTTAGGTGGGAAACTGGTCAAAGACAGTAAAGGTTAAATACAGTGGCTTTGAAGAATTAGCCTCTGGTCCAAAGGGAGCCAAGCCCACAAGAAGAAATGACAAGAATTTAGCTCTTAACAATCCTTATCAAAATTACACAGAATACATGAATGCCCCAGCTTCATCTCACAGAATAGCCCTATGGAGAGGCCAGATGATTAGATCGACTTCTTTTGTTTTCATGCTAAAACTGATTGTCTGGAGGCTAGAAAACTGAAACACCCTGGAGTGGTCTGCATTGTTGTAAACAGAGGCACTCATCTTCTTCTATTTCCTATGCATTTTCTCTAGCTCCTCAGATAGGATTTGCCAAATGGGCAAAGATTAAGATCAGGGCAGGATAAATGATTTACAAGGGGCCAGATCGCTAGTCAGCCTGGCAATAGACCATATAAAGGATCAATCTTCTTCCCATGTCTCTCTCCGCCTGAGCCCTTCTCCTGGTTATCCCTGCCAGGCTCTCTTTGTGCTGACGTCATTTCTGAACTGAAATCAGTGACTTACCCTCCTCAGAACCCAGGCCTTAGCCAGAGAATCTTGCTAGCCTAAGTTACTGGCCTGAATTCCTGGTTTCTGGCCCAGGACCTCTGTTAGCCTGTCCTCTCTTGGGATCCTTGCCCAAGAAATTCCCTCGTGTTCTAGTTGGGAGTTCCAACGCTCTCCAGCTCCAAGACAGCGTAACAAAACTAAGGAGAGGTAATCTTTGTTTTTGCTAATCTATCTTCTGGAAGTATTTTTCCCACACATTGATGGCTCCCCAACCTCCACCCCCCCTCCTTCCCTCCTTCCTTCCTTCCTTCCTTCCTTCCTTCCTTCCTTCCTT